AGATCTGAATGGTATAACTCAATTTTACATGTATTTTTAATATACATGAAGCAACCAACCAGTCAGCCTGTCAGTGCTCAGGAGGCCCTTTTCTCATAATCTGTTTTAAATATAAAATACATGTTATTTGAAGGTCCTCTATGGTCTTCTCACAGTATTTTCCGGAGGCCGTATTTCCTGACTCGGTTCCTTCCCGCGCTGCTCACTCCGAGAGTGGTAAGCGCTTCCTGTTATCCCTCCCGATATTCTTCTGTGCATTCTCACGTGTGAGGTTGTGTTTTTGTTGCATGACATGCAGGAACTGTCATTTATTTGCAGCTTCCTGTGAAAGTCGATGCTCGAATGAGTTTCATCGAAGCGCTGAAAAAGTGAGTTTCTATCAGAGAGATGAAAATGTCAGCAGGTTATTCCCACAGTTTGTTCTTTAATTAAGTTTCTAGTTGTTTTAAGTGATAACATTGATCATCATCACCACAATATGATTATTTGTTACTTTTTGTGTGTGTTTAGAGCTGATAAGATCCCTGCTGCACAGTATTCATCCTACATGGAGTCCTGCCAGAAGCAGAGACAACAGAATAGTGGGTATTCTTTTAAAGGACCGTTGACATTATTTATTATTATTTATTTTAAAGATGGACATTATTTGTTTGATTATTAGCACAGTGCAGTAAAAAAGTATTCAAGGCCTCCTGGTTTCTTCTGTTTTGTGTGCATCTCAAAATTGAAAGTTAAAACAAACCCTGATTAAACACAACAAAGTTCAGATTGTGAGGTCATGGTGGTCTTGAGTGCTCCGATCATACAGAGGGAGATGCTGCAACAGTTTGAAAGATGAAACGTCAAACAGGAGAATTGCTTTCCTTTTACGCACTCAAGACTTCAGATTGTGTTGATTATTTTGTGTCTAAAATGTTTGTCGTGTTATTAAATCACCAGTATAAGAAAGTGATCTCCCCCATTGACCTAAATGGTTAATAATGCCACCTTTTCTTAACATTGCTGTGGTGGAAGTTCGACCCAGTGATCTTTGAAATACTCGCACGTTGGAGGTCCTGCCTCAGCATCTCACTGGGATGCATGTCTGAGCTCTTTGAAAGTCTAAAATGTTTCCTTTAAAG